TGTTTTTTCTTAATGTTTTTATTTATTTTTGAGACAGAGAGAGAGACAGAGCATGAGCAGGGAAGGGGCAGAGAGAGAGGGAGACACAGAATCGGAAGCAGGCTCCAGGCTCTCAGCCATCAGCACAGAGCCCGATGCGGGGCTCAAACTCACAGACTGTGAGATCATGACCTGAGCCGAAGTCGGATGCTCAACCGACTGAGGCACCCAGGCGCCCTTGAAGTTTATTTATTTTTATTAAAATTTTTTTCCCAATGTTTATTTATTTTTGAGAGACAGAGACAGCGTGAGTGAGGGAGTGGCAGAGAGAGAGGGAGACACAGAATCTGAAACAGGCTCCAGGCTCTGAGCTGTCAGTACAGAGCCCAATGTGGGGTTTGTACTTGTACTCACGAACCCTGAGATCATGACCTCAGCCGAAGTCGGACACTTAACTGACTGAGCCACCCAGGTGCCCCTTATTTATTTATTTTGAGTGAGTGAGAGAGAGAGAGAGAGAGAGAGAGAGAGAGAGAGAGAGAGAGAATCCCAGGCAGGCTCCACACAGTGAGCATGGTATTCAATGTGGGGCTCGATCCCATGAACCGTGAGATCATGACCTGAGCTGAAGTCACGAGTCAGACACTTAACCCACTGAACCACCCAGCCTCCCCAATCTGAGAGGCCTCTCAGGCTCCTTCTTGCATGCATCCTGCTTTTCCTTAAGAAGGCCTTCTTCTCTCACCTCCCTTTTCTACAGTGCTTGACATACACCAGGAAACTTCCTATGACTAACTTCAGTCAATTCTGAGCACTGACTTCTTGGCCTTCCCTCCATCCGCTCAGTGCTAATCTGCCACAGCCAGAGTCTCTTCCTGAGCATGTACTTCAGGCCTCCTATCCTTGCATCCCGCCTCCCTTATCAGATTCTCAAAACTCACAACTTCCCCTCCTTCTGCCACCTTGGCACACCTGGTTCAAAGGGCCCCAAGGAAAAGGGCCACCCTCCCTACCTCGGCTCAGATGCCAGGCTCTACTCACCTCCTTCTGGATTTCACTCTTGAGGGCAGAAATCTTCATTTTCATGTCTTCCAGCTCATGGTCTGGGAAGGGATGCACCTGGGGGCTGGCCTCAGACTCCTCAGGTGATGGAAACACGAGGTCAGCCAGGGGGATGTACCACTTGCAGTCATACTGCTGGTGCTTCCTGCAAACAAGCCAGAGAAAGACATGAGCCAGAGGGAAGGAACTTGGCTCTTCAAGCCTGAACTGCCAGAATCCAAAGAAACCTGAAAGGGATTTGCTGTGAACTTGTCACAGGCAACAATGATCCATGTCCTTGAGGAGTCTGATCAGAAAACCCACGTGTGGAGAAATGACAGTCAAGTTCTAGGGTCAGGCAGCGGTAAGGGCTGTGGACCTTGGCCTTGCCAATCTTCAGGCCCAGTACGACTGATGTTTTTAAATATCTCAACCCTCTAACTCTTTCCTATTCCCCATTGCACACTCTTCCCTCCCCCAAGCCTATCTCTACTTAGCTCATATTCGTTATCCTTTGGGCTAGAGGTGTATTCACACATGTTATCTTTAATGCCAACTCTGATCAATAGAGGTCATGTGGGGTACTGGGTAGAAGATTATAAAGCCACACCCAAGCCTAGTGGGAAACAGTGCCGTGGTTCATTAGTAATGTCTGTCACGGGCAAAGGACTAAAGGCATAGGTGTCTTTGCTTATGACTGCCATCTCTGCTTTTGAATGATCTCATCTGTGATCCCATTCCAGGGAACTAAAGCACATAATAACCTCTCCTTCTCTCACTTCCCTCAGGACTTGGGTTTGCACCTCTCGTTGTGGCCCCTTAGTGCTGCAGTCTCCCCTGGACTCTGAGGCACACAGTAGGGGATCAAGAAGTGGGGGAGGAAAAATGAGGGAATGAGTGCCACATAACCTCTTCTGCTCACGGCACAGTGTAGACTCATGTCACTGCATGTGGAGATGGAGGTGGAAAGCAGCTTTCAGGTCTGATTAAGGTTCAAATCCTACCTTCTCTAGCTCTAGTGCGACCTTGAGCAACTGAATTTTTTTCTTCTTCTTTTTTTATTTTAGGGAGAGAGCACGCACATGTGAGTAGGGGAGAGGGGCAGAGGGAAACAGAATCCAAAGTAGGCTCCACACTCAGCACAGAGCCTGACGTGGGGCTTGATCCCACAACCCTGGGATCATGACCTGAGCCAAAATCAAGAGTTGGACACTCAACTGACTGAGCCACCCAGACGCCCCTGATTTAACTTTTCTTTTTTTTTTTTTTTTAAGTTTTTTTTTTTCAACGTTTATTTATTTTTGGGACAGAGAGAGACAGAGCATGAACGGGGGAGGGGCAGAGAGAGAGGGAGACACAGAATCGGAAACAGGCTCCAGGCTCCGAGCCATCAGCCCAGAGCCTGACGCGGGGCTCGAACTCACGGACCGCGAGATCGTGACCTGGCTGAAGTCGGACGCTTAACCGACTGCGCCACCCAGGCGCCCCTGATTTAACTTTTCTAAGTCTCTTCTCCTGTCTGTGAGATGAGGATAATAATACCCACTTTGTGGAGTTTGGGGGAAGATTGGAAATAATAGAGTCAAAGCATTTGTCATGGCACCTGGCATGGCATAAGCACTCAATAATGACAGCAGATTTAATGAATATTCACCAAATTGCAGTTAGCAAAAATTTAGAGCTGTCTAATAAAAGGAGAATGCTTAAGTAAATTATGGCATATCCACTTGTAACATCATGCAGGGAAGTAAAAGGATGATTACGAAGATTAGGCAGCAGCGGGGAAAATGCTTATGACGTGAAATGGAAAAAGCAGCAACCAAAATTGGGCATTCACTCTGATTACAAGTACATGAAAAAACATGAGAAGGTTTAAAAAAACTGTAAGGAAATATAGCAGCAGGAGACTGATGCTTATGTTCGGGTGGGTGATGGGTTTTTCCCCCTGTAGTTTGGTTGTATTATCTTTATAATTGAAAACAGGATTTATCTTTAGAAAAAGGATATGTAGGGGCGCCTGGGTGGCGCAGTCGGTTAGGCGTCCGACTTCAGCCAGGTCACGGTCTCGCGGTCCGTGAGTTCGAGCCCCGCGTCGGGCTCTGGGCTGATGGCTCGGAGCCTGGAGCCTGTTTCTGATTCTGTGTCTCCCTCTCTCTCTGCCCCTCCCCCGTTCATGCTCTGTCTCTCTCTGTCCCAAAAATAAATAAACGTTGAAAAAAAAAATTAAAAAAGAAAAAGGATATGTAGTAAAACAAAATGAATTAATGTGTTTTTTAAAAGGAAAAATAAATGCGGACTGCCCCAGGTGCGGGGGAGGGGGCTCCTCAGGAGGCAGAGTCTAGCTCCCTCCCACCTTGCCCCCTGGACTCACCCTGCGGATGTCTTCTTGAGCTTGGCGCACAGTAGGACATCTGTAAAGAGGAAGACGTGCCGCAGCTTCCGGGAGCTCTCTGACACTTCCACCAGGAAGCCGTCCTTCACCAGCTGCCGTGTCTGAGGGAGATAGCACACCCACCCCCACCTGCTCAGGGGGAGTCAACCTAGGGCCTGGCCTGCTCTGGGGGCACCATCCAGCTGGGAGGTGCCACAGGCACACGGTTAAGGTCCCACAGACACGGGCTTTCTGGCTGTGATCTTGGGCAAGTTCCCTGACCTCTGAGTCTCAGTCTTAACATCTGTAAGATGGGGACAATGATGTCTGCCCTGTAAAGTAGGATTCACCAAGCAAGACGGTATATGTAAAACGGCCCAATGCCTGGCACATAATATGTGATCGATAAATGGTAGCTTTGTATTTCCCCCCAGCTGCCAACAGCTCTCACCTGGATAGACAATAGTCCAGAATGACTTGGTTTCTCCACACTGGGGCATGAACACCTCCCACTCCCAGCCCCAGGACCACCCCAACCTTGCCTAAGAAGGTGATCTTGTTTCAGTTCAACCTTGACCCACAGACCCGCTGGGGTCTGTTTATGCCACCTCTGAGTGGATTCTATAGGCGACCTCAGGTGGACAGGAGACACTGGTCTCCCTTGGGTGGGGCTGTACCAGTTCCTGGGGGAAACTGCGGCCATCTCTAACCTGGGTTCTGGATGGTTAAGAGCATTTTGCTCCACGCAGAACTTCCAGACTTTCCTCCCTGACACCCTCAGAGCCAGCAGGCTTCTCTGGGGCTGTCACAAACTGTCCCAGCCTTCCCTGTGTTATATACCACGTGACCTACATATTCTGTGATATGTAGGTGGGCATGGTGAAAGTATACAGTTAAAAAGACCTGAAACCGACAGTGCTCTAAACCTTCTGGAGAGCTTTCAGCTATCTTCGAGTCAAACAAGTCAGTGACATTCCAGGGTTTGCAAACCAGAGCTGGGAGTTGCACACAGGGACAGCTCTCTGTGCCCCATTAGTCACACTCCAGACCCTGTCCCTCATTACTTCCCTCCCCAGGAGATATTGGGGGCTTGTAGATGTAACAAAGGAGCATAAATTCAGCCAGCCTTCACTCCTAAATGCCAATTAATTACCTCCCCCGGACAGGGAGCACTGTATAAGGGCCACGCTGCTGACCCACGTGGGTTAACACTGTCCCTTCGATTCTTTAAACCGCTTCCCCTCTCTGGGATACCCCCACCCTTCCACCAAGAAGGGGCCCCAAGGAACTGGAGCTGCTGTACCACATCTAGGTGCCCACCTGGGACATTCCAGCAACCTTAGCCACCTCTCATTCCAGACTTTCTTGCTGTTGGGCTCGCTCCTAGCTCCTGCCCTCCTATTCGTGCAGGCTGATAACAGGCAGCTCAGAGCTCGACTCCCCGGGCTCCCTCAGGCTGTGCCATTATCTTCCGGGGGACCCTGAGGGCATCACACTGCCCACGGTGGGTGTGTGCATTCAGCATTGTGAGAGCCAGAGCCCCTGGTTTCCCTGGTATGGGGGACAGTGCGTGAGGCTTGCAGAGAGATAACCCCAGCTAAAGAATCCAGTTCCAACACTTATGGCCAAGAGACCTTGTGTCAGATCTTCAGAGACCCTCCAGGCCTCAGTGGATTATTATAAAGATTAATGAGACACCGAACTTAAAGCTCCCAGGGCCTGAAGACCTTTTCTTGGCTGGGCATGGGAGAGGAGGGTTGGCGAGGCAGAATGCCTGCTCCCCTGTGCAAGAGGGCAGGGATAGGTGATGTGGTCCACTGCACCCTCGTCAGCCTGGGTGAGTGGCTGGGCTGGGTCCTGAGCTCACCTCTCCCTTGGGGGTTGTGACGGCAGTCCGGCGGGGGTCGATGTCCTCATTGATGCTGGACAGGAAGTTCTGGGAGATGCGGAGGGCATCCTGGAGCAGCGGGTAGTCTGGGTGGTCCACAGGTGTGTGCTTCAGCAGGTCCTGGGAAGGGGTGGGGTGAGTCAGGGGCGGCAGTTCTGGGGCTCAACGAGAAGACAGTGGGGACTCAATCTTCACCAAAGGAATTCCAAGGGGGGGCACTAAGGGACCCATGCTCTAATCTGGTCATGCCTGCAAAATCAGGGTCAGAGAGGCAGCGTCAGGGCAGTGGCGCCCCTTTGTCACTAGTGCAGTCATCACTCTTCCCCCTGGCGGAGTGAGCCAGGTGGAGTCTCATCTCACCGAGCAGCTGCGAGAGACACCCCTCTACCCACCCCACAGCTGCTCCAAGGATCCTGGAGACCATTAGGCCAGGGATGGGGAGGCAGGAAGTGCCTGCCTCCCCGGGAGCATTTGGTCAAGTGTCAAACTTAGTAGCCAGGCTATATTTAGGCCCTGGCTCCGCTGGCATAGGTACCACAGACCAGGCAGGTACAGTCGGGACCCAGGGACACTCTGCCCGGCTCCCCAAGTGGGTTGTTCTCAGTGACTCCAGCGCTCACCACCCTGGGCTCAGCCTCCCACTCAACTCCTAACACCTCCCTGGCCATCCAGGGGGCTGACACTCACATGTAGGACCAGGGTGCTCCTGGTGACTCGGTCAATGGGCTTGTAGAGCAGAGCTGTTGGCAAAGGCAGGGAGAAGGAGACAGGACAGGTGACATACAGGGAGCAGCTCGACACCTTAGAGATAAGCCTTATCCCCACCCTCCCCGCCCCCCTGCTGCTGCCCTACACGGACACCCATGTGCAGGAAGCCACAGCTCCATTCTGTCCCAG